ACAGGGAGAATAAAGGTGGAATAAAATAGAGAAATGGCCCTAGCAATGTCAAGGAATGGTGCAACTTTGTCGATTATATCAGGAGGCAGACAACTTTATTTTGACAGACAACCTTAAACATGTGCATATTCTATGGACAAGGTAAGAGAATGAGGTTGGGGGGGTTGAATGCATATAGTAAACATATTTATTTTTCAGGCTCCATAGTGCCTGATACTTTTAAGTAGATAGCTTTGGTTCTCTCTCAGTGCAAGATAGATAGATTTCTCTTCTCAAGGTCCCTTCCAGTCCGATCTTTTTCACATGCATTATGCAGCCAGCATGCTCACCTGTATACACGATGTGTGTGCATACAAAATCAATCTGAAATATCATCCTCTACAAACTCCCAAATCAAGCTTTCATTTGAACAAAACTAAGCCAGTCAAGCATGAGCCCCATAAGAAGTACCCAGACCACCTGCCTGCCCTTCTTCTTCCACACACCTCATAAAGTCCTTCAAAGAAGGTATTCTTGTCCTCTGTGCTCCATGATTCCCATTGACGTCTGACCTTTTTTCCTTCCTCCTTCTCCCCACTTGAGGTCCCCAAATTTCTTGTGGCAGTCTTAGAAGTCCCAGCAGGAGTGCTGGGAGGAATTCCTGATGTACTACAGGATGAGGTCCCTCCATTATCTATACCTTTAGATAACAAAACAGAATTTAGAAGCATTGCAAGAGGTCACATATAAAGGGGAAAAATCATAGAGAATTAAAAAAAAAAAAAGTCCGATTTTTTGATTGTATGATGTTTTGCAAGGATTTCACCTATAAAACACAAGGCGGATGAGTTGCTGAAAGTTATGAAAAGCAGCAGTACCTCTCAGTGGGAAGGTCAGCAGGCAAACATAAGGTAGGCTAGAGTGGGTCAATTATTCATTTCCAGAGATACAGAAGATAATCTCACCAATCTCTCTCCAGAGATATTATCAGAATGATGCAAGTTGCAGTCCCTATACTGGCAGTCCCTAAACTGGAATACAATAGAAGTACATATACACTGCATAGCCAAAAAAAATGTAAACACAATATTGAATGCTGCTGTGCACATGAGTAAACTATTGAACTAAGAGCTGCAAGAGCGGAACTTAAAACAAACTCAATTGATTAAAAAAGGGCACAAGTAAGCAACCACATTATTTAGTAGAGCGGAATTCTAAATAATTCCATCTTCTCTATACAGTCTCTTCTGAACTCTTCCATTGGAGTGAAGAGGAGGTGTGATTCAAAGCAGGGAAGTGTTTTTTGAATGCAGTCCTCTTTTTACCTTCTGAATTAATTTTTTTTTAGATGTCCAACTATACCAGTTGTCACCAACCAGTAGATTGGGATCTACTGGTAGATCTTGGAGTCTCAGACAGGGGATCCGGACTGGTTTGGCCAAGAGGCTATCAAGTGCCTGCACATCAGCTGTCTTTCTCCCTTCCCCTCCCAACCCAAGACTGCTGCACACTTCTTGCCCTTTGCTTGGAGCTGTCCCCTCAGAAGCCTCCTGCTTGCTGTGCAGGGCAGGGCAGGGCAGAAGAGGGGTGCTGATGTCAAGGTGTCCCCTTCCACTCTGTATTTTTTCTCACCAGAGCAGAGAGGGGACACAACAGGACTTGGGATGGCGTTTGCTGGCTGCTTTTGGGAGTGGTGCAGGGCCAGGGTTGGGGTGAGCCTGCCTTAGCCCCACTGCACCACCACCCAGGAGCCACCTGAGGTAAGCAGAGTCCAGCTGGAGCCCACATCCTGAAACCCTACCCCAGTCATGAACCTACTTCTGCACCCCAAGCCTTTGCCCTAGCTGAGTACCCGTGCATCCAAACACCCTCCCAGAGCCTGCACACAGAACCTGAACTCCCTCCAGCACCCCAACTGCCTGACCCAAGTTCAGCTCAGAGCCCCTCTTGCACTCTCAATCGCTTAATCCGAGACCAGAGCCTGCACCCCCACCCTCTGCCCCAGCCTGGTGAAAGTGAGGGAGGATGGGAGAAGGAGGAAGGGAGGATGGGGGAGGAAAGGAGGGAGGATGGAGTGAGCAGGGGCACAAAGGCGCACAAAGGAGGCTGCACACGGGTATTTGGGTGTGAGGGAGATCTTGGATTGCACTTAAATTCAAAAAGTGATCTCCTGCTTAAAAAGGTTGGAGATCCCTGATCTATACTCAATACCCATATCTCAAAAATCAATGGCCAGACACAGATTTATCAAGGGTTTTCTACAGGCCATACAGCATGTTTGGTATCTAAAACATTCATTTCATTACATGAAAAGCAAAATGAATGAAGTCTAAGCATCTAAAGACGCCAATAAAATGAAACTATTTTTCAGAAATTAAATCAGTTTTAATATAATACTTATTTGCATGAAACAACATGAAAGTGATTATTCTACTGAGGGTCTCTTTCCTATGCGCATTTAGAAACTTCATTCGTTTAGCTACTAAATAGTATGATATTTAATTCAAAGTTGCTTCACCTTTTCTTTCTCATATCATGTTTGGAATAGCTAGGCTCTCTGAAATTATAGGTTCTAGTCCTGGAAAGGTCAACACCTCCTTTTATCTTCGGAAAGCAGATACATTTCATATAGTATATCATGGGAGTTTCTCTTGGGTAAGACCTTTGAGACAGAAGGCCAAACAAAACTAGAGATGAAGGATAAAACACTCATGTTTTGGCTCCGTTTACTCATTTTGTTAGTCCAGGGATCCCTATACATTGTTAAGCCTGGTAGCACTAGTACATCAGACTTCAGTGACTGGTGCTTTGGCCCCCACTCCCAAGCTTCATTATGTTCCCTGTGGCTGCATCACTGAGCCTGACTCTATCAACTGTGCAAATTTAAACCACTCTAAATACTGGACTGTTGGTAAAACCTAGTACTTAGCTTGGTAAACAAATACATGGAATTGAAAAGGTCAGGACTCATTGGGCTGAATAGGACTAAATTTTTAGTATTCCATCTGGCCTTCAGAAAAGCGAACCAGTTCCCTCATGCGTGGCTTGAGTTTTATTTTCATAATGTTTGTGCTTTGATTGTTAGAACACAGATGTTCTACCTAGAAGCATGAAGACTGAAAACTTGCTAAAATATTGCCCTAAAAATTGAAGGACTGAAATGCAAAAGCCTAATATGCATGTTACCAACAATGGAACCCTGCCTACATCAGATAAAGTAGGTGAGTCAGAGAGAACGCTGGTATCTAACAAAGGCTAGTCACCACCAGCTTTTCCATCCAGGTTCTAAACAGCAGCTTAGTGTTCGGTCTCCAACAGCCCCAATGGCACCTTTTAGAAGTCAGAAAATTCACAGCTTCAGCAGATACCACATACAAAGGGCCACTCTCCAATAGAGACTCAGAGGGGTAGCCATATCAGTCTGTAACTTAAGCAATCCTGTGGTGCCTTAGAGACTAACAAATATATTATGAGTTTTCATGGGTAAAACCCACTCCAACTCATCTGATGAACTGGGTTTTACAAATATAGCATGAGCTTTTGTGGGTAAGTCTTTATGGTACCACAGAACTGCTTGTAAAATAGTTAATCTCCCCTATATCAGCCTAACGGACCATGCATTAGATTAGGCTCCACTTATCTGCATTCTCCAGGCCAATATTAAAAAGAGTAGAGTGAGCAAAATGACATTTTCACTTGTCAGCTGCCAACTTGAATGTCTACCATGTATCTGCTGGAAAGGAATGTGACGTTTACTGTTACTTGCATAGAACAAGGGCAAAATTAAGAGTTAAATATGCTCGTCTCCATTTCCTAAAGTATATCTATTGAATACCATCTTCTAAGGCATGTCAAAAGATTCTTTCTGAATAGTCTTTTTAGATGTTTTGTCCTTTTGCCATAGCAATCAGTAACACTAGGACTGCATTTAAAACTTTTTTCAAAAAGTACCTCTTAGCTGAAGGATTGCATTAGAAAGACTCGAAGGAAATTTCTTCTTGGCTCTAGGATTGAGTGTTAGCCATTGAATTAGTTTTTAACATTTGCACAGTTGCATAGCAAAATACTTCTCCCTAAGCATGTAAGTAATGTGTAACCGTTTGAGTTTCAGAAAGGTTACAACAGCACCCTGCTATGTGCATAGCAATATTTTTCTTGTTGAAGAGCAACCAAATGCAAGACATGTGTTCAAACCTTTTCCATCACTGTTCTCTAAACAAATCCTATGGTTAAATAGCAGTCAACAATGGCCAGATACAACACAACACACTGCAGTCGACCCATCAAAAAGGCATGTACATTAGGAATTCAGCAAAGCTTCCTGACCTCTGGGGAAACCCTCCAAAGCTGCAGCCTGGATCTGATTCGCTTTCTGCCCAGAGAGGGAAAAGCAGCTCCAGCTAGGAACAGGATAAAAGACAGGCATGGCTGATGCTTCAGTTTGAGTATTTGCCCGGTAATGGGAAAACCAGTTCATGGCCTGTTTGCCTTCTGCAGCAAATGGCATAGGCTTCTCACAAGTACAACTCCATGACAGCACTATCCCATGGAAATGTTCACACTGCATTTTTAATGCTGAAACCTGACACTTCAAGACAGTCAAATAGCCAATAAAGATGAAGCCTAATTGTGGGCTTCTTCCATCTCCCCTATAATACATAACCGAATTACGCAGTTGAACTTGTTCAAGTATGCCTAATTCTAACTGCTTACAGGGATCTATACACAAAGAATGTGTTTAGAAGCTTCAGAGGGGAGCAGAGTTAGTCTGTACAGGATAAACTTAAACAACAACAGTCTGGTAGCACTTTATAGACTAACAAAACATTTAGATGGTCTCGTGAGCTTTTGTGGGCACACCCAACTTCTTCATCTGAAGATGAAAACTCCGGTCATCTGAAGAAGTTGGCTGTGCCCACGAAAGCTAATGAAACCATCTACACGTTTTGTTAGTCTATAAAGTGCTACCAGACCATTCGTTGTTTTTTTTAAGTTTAATGTGTTGAGAAGCATTCTCTACCCAGCAGCACATATTTTAGTAAATGCAGAGACATACACAGTCTGACATGGTACATTTACACACACTGTACAGAAGTTTAAATAAATGTTGGTTGAGGCTCCCACCCACAGTATGTAAGTATTCACTTGTTTGCACATTAAAAGAAAGGGTTAAGAAGAGGTTTGCATTTAGACACACTAGGCATACAACTGAGTACTCATTTCTACTATGCAAAATTACTTGGAAAGTTTAAGATATGATAGAAGTATGGTTAAGCTTATATGAACACTTCGACTATAAGGTCTTTCACTTACACACACCTCTTACAGGATTTTATAATATGGCTGGGGGAAATGTAATCAGACAGAAATACTTGGTATACAATGTTCAGCCTGGAAAAAACTTTTTTTGTTTTAAACAGGCAAAATTTAACACAGAATTTTACACACAAAGTTAGGATTTAGGGGCATACTGTGTGTTAACCAACCTGAGGCACAGTATATTTTTAAAATATTGTTAGATAGCATTCCTTATTATTATAATTAAGGATATTATTTATTCATGGATTCTCTGACTCCATGACTTCAGCTTCTGCAGTGACTGGTAGGGATGGATCCTGGACAGTGCACAGTACATCCGCAATTGTGGCAGGAGCAGAGGCTGTGCACCCCCATAGTTTTGGCTGGGGCTGTGTGTCCCTC